GCGTTTGAAGGTTGGGACATCTTCAAATGCCTATTTGAGGGTTGATGTGCTAAAGTTTGATGCACTGTAAAACCAATGGTGGTGGTACCTTTGCTGATACTCGAATGTGCCACAGATATCCTAAGAAAGGTGGTGGCAAACTAAATAGAAATTCGGTAGATTTATGATGCATCTCCGCAAATGAGGCAGCTAGTCCCCTTTCAACACTCAAATGCGGTTTCTTTTGGAGTAGTTAGAGTTTTATTTTGCGACTGCTGTTTGAATCACCAGCTTCTCCTTCCTCTCATATTTTTGCAACCATCCTCCTCGTCGCTTGCCAGCCATCTACTAATTCATGTATTTATTGTATATCCATACACGTGCCCCTTCCACTGGTCTGCTATTCATAGAGTCTTCTAAAATTTACTGAACACGTAGCAGTGGAAGGCCAGGTGGGATCTCTTGCTGCCTTTGCAGTAGAGCGTGTAGTCTATTGTTAATTATAGCTAACTTACCCTTTGTGATGATACCGTTCAAGTGAATCAGTCGTTTAGTCACGGATTGCCCCAGCCTCTCGAATGAGCTGGGTAATTGGAAGATTTCTTAAATGTGCTTTATTAAGGAGAGCACACTTGCGAAGGGTCTCGATAGAACAAGAGTAAGTGTGCTGCCAACTTAGAAGCATTCGATCCTGCTTTGATAGATGCGGCTCTCTGCAGTCTCATTCCTCGTTAGACAAACTCCCGACGTGGCACTCGGTGTCACTGGAAATGTGGAATCCCTCGAGCTAAGGGTAACCTAAACGCAGTTACACTGTCAGGCTTTGTTATCAAATGCACAAGCATGAAATAAGGCGAGAAAGACATAGGGGTGTAGGAGGTGATAGGACTGCTCTAACGAAGCATTGGCGAAGTGGATTCCTCTTAGATTGTGAAAAAGGTGCTGTTGGCCTACTCGGAAAGGGTTCAGTTGCACTTTGCCTAATTGAAAAGCAGTGCTTGCATTGCATGCATCCTCATCAACAACACTTAACAGCTGCACCTCCGACTGGAAAAGGTGTACGAGGTGATGAAGGGTGAAGAGTGAGTTTCTACAGTGCGTTCAATGCTTTAATGCGACAGTCCGTAAGACTGATTAGCCTCTTGTAGCTTCACTCTTCACGAGGCGACTCGGAAACAACTGACAAAACTGCAGGTGCGTTGAATGAACGCCGTCAATCTGCTTGTCTTCTCCCATGCTGGTGAATTTTAGGGGGATATCCAAAGGATTGCGGTGGAGATGGGCCGTCTACTATAAGGAGTAGGCAAATGACCATCTGGATTCTGCTGCATCTTATTTTTGCTTCCTCTGGCAGCAGCAGTGCCGAAGGAATAGAAGTCTATTGTGAAAACTGCCTGCATCCCCTCAGAAACTTCTTTGAGTTGGTGCTGTTAGCACAGGCCAATTCAAGTGAATAGACTGTGGTGAAGGACTACTGCTTCGGTCGCAGCGAGCAGCCTGCCGACACTCTCACAGGCACTTGACTTGGATCGATCAGCGCCGGTACGACTGCCACTGACGCGCAGACAGACGCAATCAGATGCTGGCTGGACCGAGCTTTGCATCCTCTCGCAACGACATGCCACCGACGAGGTTGCACGGGAGTTCGTTCGTGTCAAAACGGAACGCCGTTTGGCAGCTGGAATCTCCACTGTCATTCGGGTAGAGCGAATGGGCAATTTTCGATATTTTTTCCCACTCCTTCTCCTCCTCCCCATTCTCGGTGGCCAAAGCCATCTCCATAATGAGAACAAGATTATGTGCTCCTTACTATGCATTCTACGGTTCTTGTGTATGATATGCTGCTTGAAGATTGACACGCACTCCGCGTTGGGGTTAAGAGTAGTCTTAAAAACTGTCTCGGTAATTGTTGTAAATTGAGTGACCAGGTCATGTAGGCCAAGGTTCTGTGTCCGTGTGTTCTGGCTCCTATCGAACGCCCACGAGCCTCTCCACCTGCTAGTGGAGACCGCAGAAGACTGATTCCGAGTGTGAGTCACTCGGTCATCTAAGTAGCATGCAATTGTAGTGACTGATTGACCATGTAGTTAGAGTAGTAATTGGCGCCTATAGAAGAGGCCAAACAGGAGGTACCCAACAGGAAAGCGAATCTGGTGTGTTGGAGGAACTATTTACAAACAAACTACTTCCAGGAACTTGTGCAAAAATGCATTTTCAAGGTTGCAGGCTGTTTTAGCACTTCATTTTGCAGAAATGGACAGTAGTGCCGAATGCTGAGGCTCGGCAGTTAGGATTAGGGTTAACGTTTCCTTATAACTACCTCAGATTCCACCTTTCAGAGCCCGAAGTACAGCGACTAAGGAAGATGCATTTTTTACGTGTTAGGTCAACTAATTAAGTCTTCAGCGAGCAATTGTGCTGTGGATACGCTGCCTGGTGGTATGAACTGGTATTTATGTGCGTAACCCTTGATTCTGTCCGACTCCCCACCCAAGTAATCGGAGGACAGACTTCAGCACTATACGCCCAAATCCCTGCTCAAGTGATATTGACGAGTCGAGACTGAGCGAAGGTAGGTTAAGGGACATGGCAGGTGAATGTTAGCCACACAAGGGAAAGAGATCTCTCTAGTACCAAGGCTAGCGCAGGCTCAATGCTTCCAAGTAGACTTGCATCCAAAATGGTGGATTAAACTCTCAGAACCAAATCTGAAATGCATCTCGCTTCAGCACAGAAGCAAGAAGAACGGACAGAATGAGGGAAATTGTCCCATTCTCTGGAGCGCGGCACAGGTCGCTCACAGTAGAGCTTGACCACCGAGGCCTTCCAGGACTTTCTACGCCTAGCACTGATACCTTATCCATTGTGTCCAGCGCTTGAGAAAGACGGCCATAGCGACTGGTCAAAATGTGGCTGTAAAGAAGAAAATGTGTGTCGTAAACTGGGCAGGCAAATAGCATCAATTATACCGCAGAATGTAACGGGCTGATGTCTATAGGGCACGAACATCTAGATGCCTAAGAAGCTCTCAAGTGGGACTTCGGAGGAGAAGTTTCAATAACCCATGTGTGTTAGCATGATTGTTGAACAAGTGTGGGCAACTACGTGATGGTTGGGAGGAGTGCCAATGTAAACATTCAAGGTTGGTGTTCGAGTGTGAGTAGGCCTTACTGGGTGTGCACATTTACGCGCAATCATTGTAATCATTTGTCCATCAAGAGTTCCGTGTGTGATTTAACAAGGCTCATAAAGGGCCACATGGCTTTATCCGCTGGATAATTTAGACAGGAAGTCTCTGCCGACTGCGATTTTAATTCAACCCACATATACTTTAAATTCTCGCCGTAGAGTACACCGAGAAGCTCTAAAAGGGCTGCACTACTGATGTGAATAATGGAGGGCTCCCCGGACATCCAGCTGTCTGTAGCCACTACCTCTATCCAACGATACAAAGTCGTTTCCTCGACATATGACCTAAGAAAATCACATTGCAGCTAAGTCAAATGTTGATTGTGGCTTTTTATCTCATCGGCCACTCGAAGTGCCAACTTCCTACAAAGTACTGCCCCGTCGTCAGAGATAACTGGTAAATTGTTCTCCGCCTTGTGACTTGTTTGATGATATGGATGGTTTAATCCAAATGCTCGACTTCCAATTCTGTTGTGTACGACTTATTACTTCAGTCCTCTTGCACCTTTACGACACAAAGAACTCTCACTCTGGGCCATTGTTGCGTATTCCGCTCTAAATTTAAAATAAAGCGCTTCGGTATAATGGACGAACGCTCTTGAAACCAGTGAGAAGAACTACCACTACATCATGATGTAGATTGACCAAATGAGTTTCACCTCCTTTGTGTTGCAGGTGGTAAGAGGTGGAGCAGTGTAACACTGGCAAGAAGGGCCAGCTATACCCAAAACCAAACAAAGCGTGGGTAATATTTTTGGCACAATCTAGGCAGGTGTTCATGAGCTGCTGCAAAGCTGGTGAGCTAGAGGATGGTTGATGGGCAAACGAAGGTACATCCCAATCTTTAATATGCATTCATAACTGTCTCCAGGTTGATAACAACACACGACTGCTCGTTTTGCATAAGGCAGATACAAAGTGGTATTTTTTTTAGCAAACTGAGCCTCTGGTTCTAAGCATTTAGTCCCTCAAAGGGGTAAATCATACCTTGTGGGGAATAGAAAGCAATTCGAAAATCGAAGGATGCAACAATCAATGGACTGATGAACGCAGAGCTTAAAGCCCCAACGTGGAATCTATTCAACCGCGAGCCCTAGGATCCGAAGACACTTCAGAGGGAAGGGAGGCTTTTGCTGCCCGCTTTCCACAACTCCCTACTATCAACAAGCCCTACCATCAACAATAATTCTCACTCACCATATTTGTTTGTCCAACGGCAAAAGGTGCATAAAATGAAGTAATCAGTGGATTTTAAGTCACGTTTATTGCCTCGTATTGATAGTTCCTTTCACTTTTCGAATCCGTGATTGTAATCTGTTTCACTGATGCACCGTTATTGCGTGAATTTATTTTGTGTTGATGTCCTTATACTTAGTTCAAATTCCTTCGTTTGAGAACCTCTTTTATTTCCCTTTTTTTAAGCCTATATATGTCACTTCAATTATTGCTGCTTCCTAATATTGTCGTCTTATGGGTGGTGAATTCAATGACCTACTCTTCCACTGAAAGCTTGGTGTCTGTCTCTCTCTCTGTGTGTGTGTGTGTGTGTGTCAAGATTGGCTCTCCCACTGCCATGAGATGGGAAGGAGTAGAGGGTGTATGGGCAGGTGGAGGAGGGGGAAGGGGCCAGGTGGAGTTAGAAACTATCATCAAAAGTTCACTGGATTGACGTGCATATCTAAGGCAGTGATGGTAGCACGGGTAGATGACGTGAAGTTGACAATTACCTGCACGACCAACTTCAATTTTTACAAATGGCTGGGTAGTTGTATGATGAGACAAGGGGTGCCTTCAATGTTGGATGCTTAGATGGATGCAAATTCCTCATAGGGCAGTGGAAAGATGGTGCTAATGAGGCCATGATCTGTCAGTATGGCGCGGAAATCCACTTGGCCTGTCTTGGTGTGGACAGCCCACAACCTATGTCCAATATTAATGATGGAGCAGTCAAAGGCGGGGTGAGGTGATGGTGCCGTTGAAATGCATTGTACTATCGCAATCCACCAAAATATACATTCGCCTCGAGGTCCTCGCCAGTTTGGTTATGGTGCCTCTCATTACGCTCCCATCTCTGCCAGTCACATACGGCAGATGGGGTGAGGCGTGGAAGTGAATGCCAAGCAATGAAGCATGCACACGGAAATAATCACATCAGGAGTTGGTGAGGCATCTTCGAATGAGGTTTGATGTATACTGAGGCAGGGGGTACATTCAATAATGAGCGACACACAGACATACATTTCTCACGGAGCCAGAGAAAGGTGATGCTGTTTATTCTACGATCGGTCAGTAAGTTGTGCAATTCTACTTCGTCCACCTTGATGCTGACACCCCGTAACCTACCTCCAGCATTAATGATGACGAGAAATGAGGATAGGCACCCAAGTTAGTGACCCATTTGCCATTCGTTCTTAGAATGCAAAGCCTTTGAAAGCGTCATCCTGAATAGGTGAAACAGCACGTATTTAAGACAATGGCTTGTTAGTACTAAAAAGGCAGTTTCAGATGGTGCGACCCACACCAGAATTTGTGATAGGACGCACTGTTGAAGAACCTGAGGCGCTTATATAGAAAAGCATGAAGCGAGTGATTACTGGCGTGCCTTCGGGAATCTTCGTAGTCATGAATAGCGAAGCCAGTGCATGGAGGTTTAAATGAATGCCTGTGTGCGTAGCCAGCAAGGGGCAAAAAGACCAACAATTCACCAGGTCAAAACGATCATATCCAAGCTATTAAATATCCGAGTTTAGTAAGCCCGTGCATTGTGCGAACCTGTCCATTTAACCTTTTCCACTTCCATGCTCACTATCTCATGTCTAATTCCTCATTCGCTGCCATAATTTCTGTTTCCTTTACAGGGACAGATCTATTGCCATAGTTCCTGAAATTCAGGTAGTCTCTTCTATTTGCTGGAGGCAAAGTCAGATGCTGACACATCTCAGGGTGAGTTTCACCCCAACACAATCACTGCGGCAGACTAGGGGTCGCTTCTTTCATGAGGTCAGGTGCGGTACACTAGATGCGGATGTATAAATAGACGCTCTACGATTCCCTGAATGGACGCAAATGGCCAGTCCATGAGGGTGGCACAATCGTTGTGTTATTATGTGCAGCAGTCAGAGACGAAACCAATCGCTTCTGATTGAGTCCAGGTGAATAGAAACTTGGTTTTAGACACCCCTTTATGTTGTTTGCTGGGGGTGTGTATGCCGAAGAAGTACACGAAATAATGTTGAACGATGGTGCTACGTCTTCGTGTACGGTTTGTTGGTTACTGCTTGGAGTCTTGCCATCGCTACTCTCACGCATCAGACCTAAAGTGTTATTTACTTCCTCCGAATATGGGACAACACAAACAACAACTCTGCATATGCTTGTCCTGATAAAAGGACGAATAATGAGGTCAAATGTACGCTAAAAAAATTCGTTCAACTAATTTACTCAATTGGTTAAATGAAATTAAAGGTACTGAACAATTCTCCCCTACTGTACAAATTGTCGCTGGGAATTGGCTACAATACGGTGGTGCGGGACTACCTTGGTGACAACACTGAATACGTAGCCTCTTCGATCCCCGCGGATTTCGGTTCGGCTGAACTCCATCTCTGAATTA